CTGCACACAGTGTATATACTGTATGCAGAACTGTATGCAGGTGAAAGTCCCCAGTCATTCCGAAGAATATAAAAATCTTTTTCGATGGATAGATGGATGGATGGAAGTTTCAGGAAGCAGTTTCAGGATCGTCAACAGGCAGAATCATTCGAGAGTCCGAAGACAGGTCAGGCAAATAGATCAGAACAGGAACAGGCAGACTCGGAGGTCCAGAACGGGTCAGGATCAGAAAATCAGAAAACACTATGACTCGCTAGAAGACTCACCAAAGGCTCGAATAATCTGGCACATTAATGACTGGAAGAAGGCAGGTTGAATAGAGACTGGAGCAGGCGAAACAGAAAAGCAAAAATTACAAACTGGGTGGAACAAGGCAGGTGAATGGAATGAACAATCAAGCCAGTCATCAGCACCAAGATCATTACATAAAAACTATTATAAAGCAGAATAGTGAACATTTCTAACTGGTTGGAGCCTATTCAAAGTTAGGTTGCTGTTTTGGCTAAATTATGAGACACCATGTATTTGCCATAATTTTAACATATCAAAATATAAGATTTATTCATTTAGCAAATGAATGAATTTTTCAATTTACTTATAACTGAAAATTTAAAAGATGTTTTCCACTACATGTGCTTTGATTGCCTCCTTTTTGCCTGCACTGTGAAATAATAGCTTTATATCCCTCTATGATGCTTTGAGTTCATGGTTCTCAAATTATGGTATAGGGTACACCAATGCTGGCATTACCAGAGATGGATACTTCCCACAAAGCTATAAAAAGAGATGTGTACATACTTCAAGAACATTTTACAACATCTTTGTGCTTTGTTTTGTTTACCTATCATTCAGATCTGAATCCTGGCAATGACCTCTACCGACTTCACCAGAGATACCCAATCATGTACTTGTTAAAAAAAAAAGGCTACTGAAGTACTGAGAGAGTATTGGTTACATTTGATTTAGTATTTTAAAATGATAGTGCCATGAACTCAACAATGGCGCATCATTACGGCAGTTCCTGATACACCACACGTAACTTTGAGTCCCAGCCTGAAGTCCTTTGCTGCTTGTCTTTCTCCTCCTTCTTCACCCCATTTTCTGTCAGTCCACTTTAAAAATCAAAGGTCAGCAGAGCCACAGAAAAAATAAAGTAAAAATATCAGACAGACAATTTTTAAACTACTGTGCAAAGTCTGGTATTTTTAAAGAATGAAATAACAAAAGCAGTTAGCTGGTGAAGATTCTCAGTCATCCAGGTCATAGTCATTCCAAAATAAGAATATTGAAGACAATCTACTGGACTTTGTTTCCAAGTTTGAAGATGTTTCGCTTGGTTGAATAGGCAAGGCCCATTGCTGTCCTGTATGCTATCATCGCAGCCCCAGCCACTGGACAGGAGAGCAGAGGACCTCGCCTATTCAGCCAGGCCAAAAATGTCCTTTAATGACCGACCTTTCGGACACTTAGACAGGTATGGGGCATTGCTGGCTAACAAAAGAAGCCTAATGACCCCCATCCCAAAGGGACGGAGCCCTTTGTCTTTTTTAATTTGCATGTTTAAAAAAACAACAACAACAAAAAACAAGGCTTTGTTGGGCTATTGTATAAAACCTCAAATGCTATTCCTGACATTTTGAATTGAGAAAGCTTCCTGGATGGGAAGCAAAATGTCAACAAATTTGGAAATAAAGTCCAATAGATTGTTTTTAATAATTCTTTTTTTTTTTAACAAAAGCAGTTAAACAATTACAAAACAACAAATTCAAAAAGAAGAAACAGCTGAAGAAAACCTTTGTGCAATGTAAAACTTATGAAGCCAATACTTACAATAGGTAATGTATAGATGTTAGGACAGGATAAGGTACTTCCAGGAAAGTATAGATTAGCCTATCGCGTTTACTGTATCTTCACTGGATCTCCAAATGAAACACCCCAAAAATTTAACTCAAGAGTAACCANAAAAAAAAGGCTACTGAAGTACTGAGAGAGTATTGGTTACATTTGATTTAGTATTTTAAAATGATAGTGCCATGAACTCAACAATGGCACATCATTACGGCATGTGAACAGTGTAGAAAAGACCTCAGTTCCTGATACACCACACGTAACTTCGAGTCCCAGCCTGAAGTCCATTGTTGCTTGTCTTTCTTCTCCTTCTTCACCCCATTTTCTGTCAGTCCACTTTAAAAATCAAAGGTCAGCATAAAGTAAAAATATCAGACAGACAATTTTTAAACTACTGTGCAAAGTCTGGTATTTTTAAAGAATGAAATAACAAAAGCAGTTAGCTGGTGAAGATTCTCAGTCATCCAGGTCATAGTCATTCCAAAATAAGAATATTGAAGACAATCTACTGGACTTTATTTCCAAGTTTGAAGATGTTTCGCTTGGTTGAATAGGCAAGGCCCATTGCTGTCCTGTATGCTATCATCGCAGCCCCAGCCACTGGACAGGAGAGCAGAGGACCTCGCCTATTCAGCCAGGCCAAAAATGTCCTTTAATGACCGACCTTTCGGACACTTAGACAGGTATGGGGCATTGCAGGCTAACAAAAGAAGCCTAATGACCCCCATCCCAAAGGGACGGAGCCCTTTGTCTTTTTTAATTTGCATGTTTAAAAAAACAACAACAACAAAAAACAAGGCTTTGTTGGGCTATTGTATAAAACCTCAAATGCTATTCCTGACATTTTGAATTGAGAAAGCTTCCTGGATGGGAAGCAAAATGTCAACAAATTTGGAAATAAAGTCCAATAGATTGTTTTTAATAATTCTTTTTTTTTTTAACAAAAGCAGTTAAACAATTACACAACAACAAATTCAAGAAGAAGAAACAGCTGAAGAAAACCTTTGTGCAATGTAAAACTTATGAAGCCAATACTTACAATAGGTAATGTATAGATGTTAGAACAGGATAAGGTACTTCCAGGAAAGTATAGATTAGCCTATCGCGTTTACTGTATCTTCACTGGATCTCCAAATGAAACACCCCAAAAATTTAACTCAAGAGTAACCATAATAGTTACTACCATCTATGAACTTCGTCATGTTGGAAGTTGAAGATTGAGGGGAAATTGCCAAACAATGTGCTCAATGATATATATATTTTTTCCATTTTATACTTTTAAGCATCATAAAAAAAATGGAGTACTCCATAAAAAAAATACAGTGTGTTAGAAATGCAAATTATGTTGTTAACTTGCTGAATGTAAAGAAGCCTGTAGATAGAATTGTTGAGAAACCTGCAGAAACTCCACATGGTATCCTAACTTTACGAGAACTTCTTGTAAATGTATCCAAAGCAATGGCCTCTTTGCAAAAAAAATAAAATAAAAAATACATGATCTAAAAGGATTCTTTAAGCAAACACACAGTTCAGATTAATTACATTTTTTTCTCTTTTTTGTTTCCTGTTTTTAAGACAATATTAAGAATGCAAATGTCCCAAACTGTTTGTAAAAAGGTTTTACATGTCCAGAAGCATTCTAGTACTTAGAAGCAAAATATTTGAGAGTTACTCATTATAAAAAACTCTAAGAAACCACTGTTGACAATGATTCGACATACATAACATATATAAATATCTGATTTAATGTACTTTCACTTTAACATCTGAGTGAAAGTTTGTTTTAATCATTTTATAGTTTTGATTAGCTGTCAGAGTTTATGAAACCTGTTTAGAGTGATGAGGACAACAGAGAGGATCATCGGGGCTCCTCTTCCCTCCATTAAGTACACGTCATCCCAGTGCTGCCTGTCCCGAGCCTGTAACAGCGACCCGTCACACCCCCAGCATGGACTGTCCTCAGGGAAGAGGCTTTACAGCATCCGCTGCAGGTCCAACAGTTTCTGCAACAGCTTTTTCTACTCTAACATCAGACTGTTGAACCATTAAACTCTAAACTGGACTCTGCATTACATTTGCAACATTATTTTGGACTCCCAACATGCTGAACATTTATAATCCTTCTAAATAGGAAACAACTCATAAATGTTCTACTGCATTTTACAGCATATTTATTTTGCTTTGCACCTAATCTTTCCATATCAATGCCTTTTGCACCATTATTTTTAAACTGGTTTCTTTTCTCCCACACTGTTTACATATTGATCACTGCTACACTTTATAAGTGGTAATGTTCATTTCACTGTTCTAAACTGTTCATTTCATTGTTGTGATCTGTATGCAACAGAATTTCATTTTGTATACACTCTGTTCATACAAAATGACAATAAAGTTTGTCTAAGTGTTTATTTCTATTGAGTCAATCCAAAAATAATGTTGCCGTAAGACATTTTACAAAAAATGTTTTTTTTTTTGTAAAAAGTATCTAAGTTATGCACCAATCCTTTTATCAAGTCTGCATATGTTAATAGCTAAAATTAAACATCTCATTTAGCAGAAAAAAAATAAAAAAAAACTTCAGCAAAACCTTTTTACTTCACCAGCAATCTACAGCAATCAGCTGTGGCTTTAGCAGGAGAAAAAAACATAAAGCACTAAACCAGAGCTACTTTCCACTTTAAAGATAAACTAATAACCCTCTCCTTTATGCTCTACATTTTTCTGCTTGTCCTCTTATTACTGTTTCTTGACTCTCCTCAATTTAGTGATTTATTTTTACACCTATTTGGAGCTATGTTCTAAATTCTGATACAACACAGAGAAAATATTAATTTGCTGCTTTGTTCCCTGTTAAAACTGGACCATGGATGGTTATTATTGGCAAACTGGAAGTTAATCTTTTTGAGCCTTCGGGAAAGTAAATTTCTGCAGCTTAATAAAGAGCTGCCTTAGCTGCCAATATAAAAAGGATTTATGGGTATGATGTGAATCAGATGGGAACTTGTCAAAGTTCCAGGTTCATCTGAAAGTATTTTCCTGTACTGGAAGAACTTATCCACCCTAAAAGATCAGCATGTGTTCAAGCTCGAAACGACAGAAAGATGCAGTTAGAGTTGCAAACGTAAATAGAACAATCAAGAAAGCAGGTATTATTGTCAAATGTTATTTTTAATATTTCATTCAAACCAGTAAAAATATCGGTAGTCTTAAACAAGTCATTGGTCTGTTGGTGAGCTCTTCACTTCTTGCCCTTCTTGTCGTGGTGCAAAGCATAATGCTTTTCACAGGCGATTGTCAGTCCAGCGACGAAAGGAACAAATTCTTCAAAGTCGAGCTCATCGTCCTTGTTCTGGTCTAAGTCTTTAATGATGCGTTCCACAGTGTCAGGGTTTTTCTGGGTCTGAAAAAAACAGGAGAGGAGCAAGAAATGACATGCAGCCACTGATTCATGATGACAGGGCTGAGTACTGATGGGAGACAAAAGATCCTTACCTTTAGGAAGTTGGGCAACTCGGCCTCCATAAGTTTCTTAAGTTCCTTCTTACTCAGGGTGGTCTTATTGCCTCCTTCCTTGGCGTAATGGTGGAACACCGTAATCATAGACTCCATGGATTTCTCCAACTCAGTCATGGCTGCAGCACAGATATCTGAAAGGAGGGGAAAAAAAGGGGAGGGGTGGGTGGAATTTCAGTTTTCTGAACTTATATGAGAGTAAAAATCCAGCTGGAAAGAAAATGAATCAAACCTGCTGGAGTAACTTTAGACCTAACATAGCATGTCTTTAAAACTACATTCTGAATTAAAAGGGAGGTTGTAATCGCTCAGCAGGATCTAGTGTTTTCTCTTAAACCAACAAATGCTTCAGTGAGGATGTGGGTGTTGGTTCCACTGGCACTCAAAGCAAATTCTTTAGGGTCGACATCATTTCTGGCCAAAAAGAAAAACTTCAACTTTTTTACCGTTCTTTAAACTTTTCTTCCTCTTTCATTATTTCACATTCTTTCAAAGGAAACAATAAAAACAGATCTTAATCATAGAAGAAAGATCAAAACCTGAGAATGCTGATTTTTTGAGAGCAAGTACTAGATACTGAACACCCTAAGTGATGTACCAAAAGAGACTAAACCAGGAAAAAAGACAGTGATCCAGACCTTTATATGTGGAAATAATTATTAGAACCTTACCAGAGCAGGATGGAGCAGACACGTTGCAGTGCAGAGTGTTTGAGGTTACTGATAGTTTAAACAAGGATTTACAGTCATCCAGGAAACGCCCAACATGATGAGGAGGGAGAGGGAGGGGATACGGGAGGCAGGGAGTGGAAAAATTTTAGGAAGCACCATCCCTGTTCAAGTTTTTCCACCCAAATGTAACAGCAGAAAAACAAAGTCCATAATACAACTGTTTAACTAAATCTGTTTTCATAAAGAAAATAAGGGACGGTGTCTCTTTAAAACAGCCTCATCATCATTTCTCAAGGTGAAATAAAACATGATAACCTAAAGAAAAATATACACACGTTTTTGAGGTAAATAATTTTAGATCATAATCCTCTTTGTTTTTAGGTTTAGAAGGAGTTCAAGTAAGCTCCATTTTTTTTTTTTTTTTTGCCAAGAAAAATTTGAAAAGTGTGGAATTTCTTTGCTTTTTCACACTTTATGGTGGTAGATTATGTAAAAAAACTGTGGAACAATCCTATATTTTTTTTCTTAGTTCTTTTTTTTAGGTTTTTACAGCACTTGTGGCTTGTTTTTTGTACAGTGGACTGACAGGAAAGTGGGTTTGAGAGAGATGGGGGAGACACAAGCGGCAAAGGATCACAAATCGGTTTTGAACACGGGTTGGCCACATCGTGGACTACGGCCTCTGTACATGGGTCGTGCTCGCTAACCAATGCTCCATCGTAGCATGCCTATTTCACAAACAAATTTCAGGTTGCAGATAGTTAACAAAGACAACACAAACACTTTTTGAGTATTTTCCTTAATGTGCTCCAGGTTGGGGCTTTTATGCCACTTTAGGTGATAAGATGGAAAATGGAGCTCCTGTAAACAACAAGCATGTTAAAGAAACACCTGACGTGTTCAGCAAGGTGATAAAAATCAACTATATGGCTAACAAACAAAAATATGTATAGAAGAAAACCAACAGTGCACACCAGCTTGAACACACGGTCACTACACTGTGAAAGACAGTGGTGGCATCATCATCATCGGAAGTGATTCCTTGACAGTAAAATGGGTCAATCTGGACACAGTGCTGAGTAGTAAATAACTTGCTCCCATGAAAAGAACCTGAAGGGAAGTTCCGAGGCACAGCCGCTATCAGGGGGACCTCACTTCCATATTCAAGGGATAGATGTCTTCGAATGCAGCTTTAGGTCTCTAAAGCTACATCCTAAGACATCCATCCATCCACCTTCTCCTGCTTACTCTTTCAGGGTTGTGGGTCACTTAGGATCATTTGACTTAGTAATACTATCTATATATTTTTTGTAACTGCTGAGACATATTGTTTTTCAGCTTTTCTGAAATTGAAAAGTTCACGTTTATTCAGAATCTCATAGAATCAATTATGTGTTTCTCTCCACAAGCTTCTCCAAACTGTTTGCTGGAATTCTAGCATATTTCTGCTGATGGAACTTTAGCCCACTTCATACAAACCTTTTCATTCTGCCCAAAGGATAATTATGGAAACGGAAGCATGGTTTTGTTAAAGGTCACTCTAAAACATTGACTTTAATGACCAAAAGCAAAATATGTAATTTTTTACCCAATCTGATAGAATGAATAGCAGCATTGACATTTGAAAGACCCAGTTGAGCTTAACCTGTGTCCCTTGCTAAAGCCTGGAGATAATAAATTCATTACTGATGAATTGCAATCATTTATTTCTGTTTATTTTATTAACCCTGGAACCCACATATAGAAAATCAATGTCCCAATGTTTAAAATTAAAGCAAAAGTACAATCTATATCTTGTTAACCTAGGTTAAGCACTTTTGACACCTTATAGAGTTCAAGAATGGCTTTAATTATACAACAGCTGAAGCTCATTTCCAGCAAATGTCAATGTATGATGGCATTTCAAAGCTCCAGCAGCAGTCCATTCCTTCGGCACTCAAACTCATATTTGGATTTACAAATCTTTTTCATATTTGTAAATACTAATATTTATACAATTTTATACACTTTTAAAGGGAATATTGGCTTTTCTATTCACTGCAATCATCAAAACCAAATAATCAAAATATGTTTCATGTTTAATAAATAGATATTTCACTTATTAACTTACATGCAAGACTTTCATTTTGCTATGAGGAAAAAAACCAACACATTCCTTCAAATCCCTCCTTGCTAGACTAACAAATTCCTAACTGAATAGTCTTGTTCAAACATTTCTGAGGCATGTGGCCTTTATCTGCCATTGGTAGAGGCAGAAGATGCCTGCAGAGAGGGAGTCTTACATGTTCTAAAGTTTGCACATTGACCTGCTGAGCCTCCTGAACGCCCAACCCAAGCTCTACCCACATACTAGAAATGCTCAGAGAGAAAGTCAACACTTTGGAAGTTTTTCACAATGTTTAATTACAAAATATGAGAGAAAAAAGCAGCTTTATGTACTGCTAAATGAAGAGAAAATGTGACAGGATGTAAGAATCTCTTTTCAGCCGCCAGTGCTTGGAAAACCGGGATGAATGGAATGTAGGGATCTGTTTGAAGATTTATTATAAGGCCTTTCCTTTGACCTTTAGTATTTATTCATTTTGTTTGAAAACTTGCACCAAGTTTTGACTGTTTTACTGGGAACTTTCTTTATGTTGATCAGTTCTTTCTTTTGCCTTTGCTGGTAGCCTTGGCAGGTGTTACAACCGGAACAGCTGCTTGGTAGAGGGCGGCAGATATCTTGTTGATGTAATACAAGGCAAACAGGGAGAAGATCAGGCTGAGAGGAGAAAATGACAAAGTATTAGGGGGCAAGTAGTAAAAAACAAAAAAAGGTAATATGAAGATGCACTGTTGTGCAGAAGAGCCACTTACCAGGTGGTGACACAGACACGATGCACCAGACCAGAGGCAAACAGGGAGAGAAACAGGCACAGGAGGACTGAAAGCAAAAGCAAAGAGTATGTTTAATGTAATCATCACATACACCCTCTTTTATACGTTATTATGCATGAAAAGATAGTGGGGAAAAAAAAATAAAAAATCAATTTAAATTTATTTAAATAAGTGAAATATAAATCCAGCTGGAAGGGAAAACATGACATTTTAACTATGTCATCACTTACTCTCAGGAAAGATCTTGGCCTGAAATCCTTTTCCAAACATCAGGTTTTCTAGATTGTTGAATGCCTAGAAAGGAAGTTAAGGCGCAAAACTTCACATAATTGGTGCACTTATATGACCCTGACAAGCACATCAATTTTATGACAACCAGAAGTTTCCAAAATAATTTCCACGTAATTTAAACTTGGGTGAAACTCTTTCATACTTTGTTTCATCCAAAGGATACAGTGAGGGAGCAGATAAAAAGAACCGAGCCCAGGAACCCTCCGAGGATGGTGAGCCACTCTGTGGATCCCAGCTGTTTGCTGAACATCTGCATCCCCGCAAAAACCAGCAATGAAAGCAGACTGGAAAGCACCAGAGAAGTGCCTGTGTTCACCGCTTTAAAGGAAAGGAAACAGATTAGGAAAGAATAGAACTCATAATCATTGAGTTTAAAGAAAAAATTTTGGAGGAGCAGATGTTATTGCTTTTCTCTGTCGGCAGAAAAACAGCTGTTGACTGCAGCACCTTCCATTTAAGGGTCTTTGGTGAATTTTACAGAAAGCTTCCAGTTTCCAGCTGATAGCTGGCATCTCGGGCCAGATTTGTATTTGTTTCACTTGACCTATATACAAATGACCAAATATCATTAGACAACTATAGTTAGTTGAGTTTTGTTAACTAGTTATCAAACCTACTCCATTTAACAGCATTATTTAATAAACCAATATGAGCTGGTGCTGTGATGCTAAAATAGCTAAAACATCAAATACATTTCCAACTATACAGTCAGTTCAACTTTGAGTAACTTTTATTAACAAGCCAGAATTTGTTTGAGCTTATATGACAGGTGTCTCCCAGATGATGATTAAATGATATAAAAAATGTTTTACTTAGAAATACATATTTCTTGGTTTTTATTTACATTTGAACCAAAAGTGGTCTGTCCAAAAACGCTCATACACCTTTCAAAGATTAATAGAAAAAAAAATAATAAAAAAATAGAAAAGCTGCTGCCCAGCTTTTTGCACATCTGTACTATTTTTTCCTGGTTGTTTCTCTTGGAGCTCCAACTCGTTTAGAGCAGAAGGTCTCCATGCCATCACCCTGATCTTTGGTTCCCTTCACACATTCTAAATTGAATTCAAGTCACAACTCTTGCTTGGATGCTGAAAAACCTCAATGTTTTCTGTCACCTCTCAACCAATTTTGCTACACGTTTTGGTTCGTTGCTGTCCTGAAATATCCACCGGTGCCAAGGCATTGCTCTTTTTCTGTTGGACCATTTATTGTGATAGAATGCTGAAAAACATCCCTGAAAGATGGGTTCCAAGCACCATGATTGATAGTGGGTGTGGTTATTTTTTGGGTTCACGGCTTTTCTTTTTATGTCAAAGGATTGTGGAGGACCAAGAGAGTCAAAAACAGCAATTTGAGATATAACATTGAAGTCATACAATTAAAAGTCCAATTCAAAAAGTGTTTTCAAATTAAATGTTTTAAATTGACTTGAAATTTAAAATGTGTAAATTCTATAATATGTCGACAGTCTACATTTTTACTCTTGCATTATCAAATCCTATTTGCAGTAGCATTTTCTTGTTACTGCAGCCCCTCCATTTACCTTTTCCATGACAAAAACCACTGAAAACCAATCATAAGCAGATGTAAGCAGCTCTCCTATTGGCGTTTCTTGTTCCTGACACACTTGGTTCAAAAGGTTAATAAAATAAGAAAAAAATAAACGAATACGTGCAAAACGTATTTAAAAATGCAAGGTGAAAAATCAAAATGGAATAAGGAATTACCTTTTTAAATGTGTGATTAGGAAAGGTATTTAGAACCAGATTTATGATCTGTGTTTTATATCTCCATTTCGAAATATCATTATAAAATCCATTTTCAAATAGCAGTATTTACTAATGGATTAATAATAAGGGAAGAAGGGGATGGATATTCTGATTTTATCATTGTATCGCCCGAAAAACCAAAGTTTAATTTTAATTTGAAAGCTCTTCTTTAGGCCACGTCACTGTTCTCACATAGAGGTTTCCGACGTTTAAACCAAATCATGAACATCAGCAGCAAACTCGATCATTTTAACAACTCTGTGTACAGTGTTCACACAGCAAATATACTCTATTTCTTCTACAAAAGCATACTTTAATTTAATCAAATGAATAATTTCCGCTTTTACAATAGCTACTCACGTTAGCTCAATAAAAGCATGGGCTACCTTTACAGTGGGACCATATAATCTAAGAAAACCTAATAATCTAACACATGTATGAAACCGCTTTGCAGATTAGACTCAAAAATACATACCCATGATTTGAAGTTTATTATAAACTCTTTGGCTGAAAGAGGAGTAATTTGAAGTGCCCTCGCAAAGCCAGATAATTTAGCCGGAACCAAAAATGACCCGGAATGGAAAAACCTGAGGGACCGATGGGCGGAGCCAAACCATAACTTCTTCCTCTTTTCTATTATGGCGGATCGCAAGCAACTTTAAGGTTCATACCGCCACCTACTGTACATGAGTGCGTAGCAACATTACATAAAAAAAAAAAAATCTGTTTTTACATTTTTTATTCTGTAGATAAATGAATAATGCTTTCCTTAATCTGTGAATATCCTTTATATTTCCTTCATTTCCCGATATTCCTTTAAGACTCCATTCTTTGCCTCTCCTTTCAACCATCCTTCTCAATTTATCCCTTTCATGTTCATATGTTTTACAGTTCATCAATACATGTTCTACGTTCTTTTTTTCCACACCCTTCACATTTATCTCTATTTTTTCGCCTATTCAATATAAATTGTCATTTAAATAGGTATGACCCACTCTTAATCTGATTATTATTACTTCTTCCTTGTGTTTCTCTCATTAATAATTCTATTTAATACTGATTTTTGTACCTTATATAATCATCTTCCTTTCTTATCTTGGTTTCATCTCTTTTACCATTTTTCTATTTCTTTACTCTTAATAAGTGATTCACCTTCCCCTTTCCTTTTTCCCAAAAGGAATTGTAATTGTTATTGTTCCCTGTAAAGCTCTTTTTGCTAATATATCTGCCTTTTCATTGCCTTTTACACCTTCATGTGCTGGAACCCAACATAAACAAATATCAATGCCACCCCTATATAATCTAAATAGACTGTGCTGGATTTCTAAAACTAAATCTTTTCTATCATTTCCTTCTCCCTGAATACTTTCTAAAACTGCTTTGGATTCTGTCCACACCACCATCCTGTCTGGTCTAACCTCCTCTACCCATTGTAAGCTTAGTATTACTCGATCATAACTGCAACATCTCAACGATTTTATGTTGGCCAAACAGTTTATTATGGCTAAACTTTACTCCGTTTTTATTACCTAGCCTTAATGTCACACTAGACAGATAATAGTTGTTAAAAGAAGGTTGATGAGGCTGAAAACTTCCTGCAACTATCCAATGTAAGATAGAAGGAAGCGTATAGAAGTTGAACGTAATTTCTTGACCAGAGATCGTGTATTATGCATCCACAGGCGTAACTTTCTGAAGGACTGTGTGGACATGTCCCCACCAATTATTTTCGCTTTTTTTCCCCTCCGCTTATGTACTTTAGCCAAAGGTAACAGAGTTGGGTGCAGCTATCTGTGTTCAGAGTATTTTGAGTCAGTTACAGGTTGAAATTAACCCATGTTTTCTTATTGTACAAACAGAATCAGACTGTAGATCTTATACATATCTTGAAAATTTGTTTCTGGCATTATTATATTACTAAATAGGTTCAAAAATCTTTTTTAAATAGAGCTCACAGAGAAGTTGGGAGAGCTGCAGATTTAAAGGTGAAACAGATTTACTGGGATATGAAACATGAAATGAAATATATCTCCAAGTTTACCAGAAAGTTTACAAGAAAAAAAAAATGATATATTTAAAATGCAGCATATCCATATTTTTTTGGATTGATGGAATTGAAAATGTACTTCTAGGGAAGCATGATTTATCGATTTTGGTATCGGAATCAGCTTTTATTTATTTATTTTTATATACATTAATGTCTTTGGGCCCTATATATGTAATGCATTAAAAGGCATCTCTCTATCTATCTATAAATATAAATATCTGTGTATTATGGTTCTCTTGTGTTCTCAACAGCAGGAAAGCATTCAATAAATATATGTTTGAGCTCATTTATGGAAAATACAAAAACCTAATGAAAGCGTTCAGGTTTAGTAACTGTAGGTCCATCAGCCCCCACCCAAGTGTCCCCACCAATTTTCATCACAAAGTTACACCCTTGTATGCATCAGACTTTTAAGTCCTAAGATATTATATGGATTCCATATAATACTTTAATGTAGTTGAAAAGAAAGTGCACTGAAAATAATTACTTTAGATTTTATTAAAAATAGAAAAATACAAAAACAGGTTATGTAACATACAAAGGTTTAAAAAAAGCAACTATTTTTAATACTTCAGTCTAAATAATTATTTTCAGACCATTACTGTATATGTCACATATCCTCTGCCAGCTTGACTCAAAACAGAACTAATGCTGTCAAAAACAAAACAAAAGCAACACTTTTTAATGTCCCATCGTTTTTATAAGGGTTTCTTCTTCAGTCCAAAAACTGCTATGAACAGAAGAACCTCCACGAAGGCTGGTAGGACACTGTAAACAAGACAAGGACATCAATATGATTAAAACCATTGTAGTATCACAGGGCTTATGAACATTCAAACCTTTACTCCAAAGGAAATATTTACATCACACCAGCTTAAAGGCACACCAACCTGCAGCAGGCAAAGATCACCCAATATGTCCAGCATTCCCACTTTTCAAACACAAAGAAGGACAAGGACACAGATGCGCTGCAATGGGCAGCCAATGCTTGAGGAAAACATACGTCAGGGAAAAAAAATCTCTTCTTCAAACAGAACTATAACACTAACCTGCAGAATGCAAGGATCCACCAGTAGATGTCACACTCCCACTGCTCAAAGAGAAAGAAAAGGAGAGCCACTGAGGCACTGGCATGGACTCCTGTTGCTATTGCAGGTGAAGTGCCAAATATAAGCAACGTGATAGTTATGGATCTCAACTGACTGATTAAAGGAAAGAGTTTTAATCTATATTTGCTGTGCTTAGTAATTCTAAAGAGAGTTAACTTTATTTTACAAATACAAATTTTAACATAAGTCCTAAAGTATTCCTGGTTTTCAAGTTCATAAAGCTGATTACTTTTGCTGTACTGGAGATGTTTATAGACTTTCACATTGTCACTAGCTGCAGCAGATCGAGTTTGTTGAGAGGAAAGAGCAACTGACAGGAGAAACCTTCTGAAAAATAGATATACTGATAAGTATAAATTTTATGCTTGATAAATAAAACAGAGTCACATCAGAGTAAAGGATACAAAGAAGACTTTGGCTGGAGTTGAACATGGACACTCCTGAAAAGAAACCAGCCAGCTCTATTGCAAACAGACCTAGGGTGACTCCCAGTGCCACCAACAACCTGAAAAAAAGATCAGAATATTGATGGGTGTGTATTTAATGCTGTTAAATATGTCTGTATAACTGTTACCTACTTTTTGTCCTCAGTTTCATACTCCTCTTGGGTAAAATCCAAAGGTAAACAAGCTTTCACATTATTTTCCTGTAATGAAAACATTATAAATCAAATGCCCATTTCTCAAATATACTAGATATTTGGATATGATTGGAACAATAACGTCTCTCTGATCTCTAAATGACTGATGGTCAATATGTAGTTCATGTATACAATGGACATTAAAAGGATTTTGTTTATAGAGAGATAGATAGATAGATAGATAGATAGATAGATAGATAGATAGATAGATAGATAGATAGATAGATAGATAGATA